GTGAGGAGTTTCAGGGAAAGAACCAATGAATATTTAAACATACTGTAAATGTATTAAAATAATATACCGGTAGAGAAAAAGAGAATGTACAGTGAACTGTATGTGTAAGAAAGTTGATCGGAAGGGAACGTCTGATAGAATGAGAAAGCTGAGATGAGGAGAAGGGGAAGAAAAGACGGAGCGGGGGAGGGGGGAGGCTATTAAAGCAACCATGATGATATTGACTAACGGTTACCCCTAGTTACAACTGTTTTATCTATATCGGACGGTACAGCAGGAGCGTCCAAGGTTTCCTGCAAGATGTTAAAAGGTCTGTCTTCATCAGCTCGAGTTTGCCAAATATAACCCGCTATTTTCAGACTCTGGATATTATCCCAAAGCTCAAAATTGCGTCTTCACCAGACCGATACGCTCATCACAAACTAGCTCAGGTGGGTGCAATTTGGCCCGGACAGGCGCAGTTTAGCCTGCTATTTCCCAAATAGCAGATATTTTGGAAACAACTAAGATTTCTCGGGATATCTTCTGGACCAAATATCCTGCTAATTGCAACTCCGGGCTGATGAGGACGCAAACTAGCTCGATACTTTGCGATCGGGATAGTTGAAATAGCAGGTTATTTGACAAACTCGAGCCAATGAAGACAGGCCTAAAGAGTGGGCGGGAGGAAGAGATTTTAGCCATCGGACAAGGACAACCGATCTCTATTGATTGTCAAGAAAGCTCTTCAAACTCTACCTGCATGGGCAGATGGTAGGAGTTTTTACTGCGGGATCGAGGGAGGAAGGTACATGTACCTTGGCTACATGGAGATATTAATATTGATGTTTTATTAAAGAAAAAAATCTGTCCAAGAGTTGAAATATTAATTGCTTGTGAAGATGAGATCGTCTAATACGGTATACATATGGTTGATTTTTTGAAAGGTGCATGATGCTAAATTTTGTATCTCTTACATGTATTAAGTGCGATCAATCTTTAATTTTTGTTTATGTGATCCAAATGTACATTTTGTATGGATGTGAAAATTGTGAACGTAATTTTTTTTGACAGTAGTAAGCTTTTGAAAAATGATTCAAATTTGACTCTTCCTAAATGTAAGACCTTATAAGGAAAATGTATTGTAGGCCTATATACATGTACATGTACATGTACACACAAACCTGTCTATTGAGGCCACCCAAGGGAAACACAGAAAGTGGCCTCTGTAGACAGGTGGCCTTTATACTCAGGTTCTTCAAGACACATTTCCTTCTACAAAATGTAGAGGGAGCCACTACCTGTGACCACTATAAGACTGGTGGCCTTTATACACAGGTGGCCACTAAAGACAGGTTTGACTGTACTATACAAAAACGTCATGAGCGATCACAGTGCCATTGTGATCTTACAGTACATCTACAAAACTTGTAATGTAATTTTTCTTTCGGGCTAGCATTTTGCAGTTGTTCCAATAAAACCATTCTACTACTACTACATGTCCCACTTATTCAATCACAATAACAAAATCAAATACTGACATCGAAATTGACTGTGAGTTTGGGAGATCATCTTTTTTTAAATCAACGGTACCATCATCGCCCCTACAGTTTGTGTATACTGTATTATGACTTATTATGAAAACTGGATTGAGTATATAAAATGGGTATTGCTAAAGACACTAGTAACCCAAAAGGTTTTCAAATTGATAAATGAACGAGCCCATCGTAATGACTCCATTTTAATGAGGTCTTTCATTTTAACCTCGCTCGATTTTCATCCCACAGTACGTGAAAGGTTTACGTGGGTGGCAGGACTCAAAGGCTGCCTTAGTTGAACTACTTTTTCAGGCCAGAAACCTTTTCATGCGACTCGATTTAATTCAGGGTGGCAATTCAGCCATTTCTCGTGGGTGAGCGATTTCCATGGAAATAGGCCAGAGAGGTTCGGTAAAATGACAGTTCTCCTTGTTCATGGTTTTGTATGCTTGGCATTGCTTGCAAAGTGTTTTAAAGGGCAGAATTATAAACGAGATGTACATGTACATGTACATGTAACTATTGTTCGTAAGGCCCAAAGCTTTAATGAAGGATTTTTCCAATAGGGATGGCATTTAAGTCTACAGTGATGTACAGTACATATTCGGCATACTGTAACTCCAATTTTCATACCGTTTACCTGAGCTAAAGAAAGGCTGTACTATGAACTTGCAATGTACTTGTTGTGCTCACTTAAAACACACTTTTGTTGTTGTTAATAGAAGCATTAATCAATTTTGCCATTTCCCATCCCCCTTGATGCAGTTGTTATATCAGATATTTTCTTTAAAAAAAATTATTGCATACACAAAATATATATTTCATCTACGTTTGATACTTTCAGAGCTAAATCGCGTGTTGCTTCAAGTGATATTTTAAGATTATTATTCTATAGTCTTCATGTTTGTACATGTACGTATTACTGTTTCTATATCTCAATTCAAATCTTTTAATACATCACAGTAGCACACGCATACATACAGTGTATGTACATTTACACACCAACACACACACAAATGAGAGAAAAATAGAGTAGAAAGAAATAAAAATAGAAAAGAAAAAGAAAAGAGAAGTGCATGTACCCACTCAGCCATGGATATATCATTCTTTGAAAAATGCCTTTATTTGTTCATTGATTTAAATCTGGTAATTGTAGAACATTATCTATTAAAGGAATGAATTCAATGAATTCCATTCACATACCCCCAACAAATAATCTATATTATCTCTTGTTATTTTATCTCTTCCTGCCCTAAACAGACCATATATACATGTATATGTACAGTGTGAATAATGTAAATGTATCTTACAGAATTCTGCTGATTATCCTGCAGTGTACATACATTTGGACATTCAAGTCATCAAATACATGTAGGTGATTCTATGCAATGTATCATGTACGACATGTCATATTTTGTATTCATCTCCATCCAAAAATGAAAGATATCTTAATTGACATGACCATTTATTTGTTAGTGATCTGAGAAAGAAGCTTTAGTCAATGGCCCTATCAAGTGATTTTCATTTTAGGATGGAAAAAAAAGACCATTTTAAAGTGATAATAATAATAATAATAATATTCCACTTTTATATAGCGCTTTACATCTACATTGTGTCTAAGCACTTTACAGATATACTATTACCCCGGTCATTGGATTTAATACTTCCCTGCCCACACTGTGTGTTCAATCGCCTCTCCCTGGGGAGCATTCCAGCCAGGCGTTACTTGACGCTCAAAATACCAGAAAGAATCATTAATGGGCGTATCAAGACATTCTTTAGTTTTGGATGAATCACGTCGAGACACATTGTACAGAATCCCTCAAATATGCTTACCCTTTAAAAAAGCTGATTTAAGTCAATTTTGACAATCACCCAGAGGTCACGTTTAAGCATACACACAGAAGAATCAGCTGACTCTGTATATTTATTCAGCCATGAAATTGTTATATTGTTATCCAACTTCACGTCATATTGCAATGTCATTCCAAACTTGCTCAAATAAATATTTGCGGTTTGAGGTAAAAAGAAAAAAAGTTGTGGGTATTTAGTTGTTGTTGTACTGGTGTATTAAGAGATGTGCACAGTATCTAGTGTAAATAGAGTTCATATGTATATCTTCACTTTTGAGCTTCACAAAGTACACTGTACATATCTATCTGTATTTGAGAATTATTACTATAAAGTTAGAGATAAACCACCATTTGTCACAGATAATATTCTCATGTACATATGACAGATGTACATGTGTACCCAGACGTTGTGTGTCAGGAGAGTTGATTTAAAACTATACTTTGAAGAAGTTTACACACAATATTCCATAAATCTCTTATAAGACATACATGTTTGTTAGACAATATTATGAAAAATACATTTGATGGTGGTTAGTGCTATTTGATGTGGATACATTTCGTCAAATTCAAAGGCAAAAGTGTTGCCTTTATTTTTGTTATAAGCATGAGGACACACAACCCCTCTCCCCCCTCCCGTATCGTACTGAATACGCAATACATTGCACAGTAATACTGTGTTAGAATAGTAGGTCAATGGCTTAATAGATGCTGCCTTAACATGTACATTTGTAAGTATCGGCTTGCATGGTGATGTAGACATACCGTCTCTATTTTCACGAAGTGACGGTAATGAGGAAAATCGCATAAAATCTGCGTGCCGATTTTCCTCACTACCGTCACTTCGTGAAAATAGGGAAGATACACAGTAGGCTTACGGATGCACCATTTGAGAAGGGGGCTCCCCAATCCTCCCCCTCTCTCACATGGTGCAACCGTAAGCCTAATGTGTATGATACAGTGTTGTTATTTTGGAAGTGTTTCAGAAAGAATCAAAACAAAGGGGGCTGTGGTAATGAGAGATAATTGGCGCTAATTGAGCAGTCCCGATGATGGTGTTAAGATTCACCTATCATCAAGCCAAGTCAATTCAGGCTATGATCCCAATATACACCGTCAGCTGCTTGTTATTGTGTGCGGACTATTACAAAAATATGCATGTAGTTATTGTTATGCCATGCTGTATTAAATGCTCCAAGCTGTGTCTTTCTTGAGCTGTTAAAAGTTATGTGGATGAAACGCTGTGGAAATAAACTGAATAACATTGATTGTGGTGGTTATTTTACCTGACTGCTCAGAGAGCATAAATGCTTGGAAGTAAAAGCAACCAGACGGCCGACGGCTTTAGGTCCTCTTTGAGTGACCTGGTAATGAGGATTAATGCCTTACCAAAGGGCACTAGCGCATCGACTTGGTTTCAAACTAGGGTCATCGCATAATATGAGACCACTACTCTACCGACTGAGCTATCGCGCCTCCTCACTGTATCTGCTACTTGGAATTTAAAATCAAATTTTTAAGTTGTTTAAGACAAATTACCTTCTCATTTCTCTGACTTGTACAATTATATTTTTCTTTGACTGTGTAATTCACTTAATTATTTGTTTTATCCTTTGTATTTTGTTATCCACAGACATGGGCATTGTGATGAGATAGCAATCACCATCGAGTCTGCTCAGCCCACCGCCGCTACTCTGTTCATTTCCTCGGCCAGAACATCCTCCTCCAACGGCCCTATCATCACAAGGAGAGACCGGTAATCATTCTCAGCCCTACCCCCCTCCATTCGCGTCCACCCTGTGCGTGGCCGGAAGCTGCAGGTGAAATTGATCACCAGGCATCCAAAACCAGAGACGTCGGGTTCTTGGAGGTGCATGCACGCGAAGAAAAGAACAGAAGCCAGAGAGGAAACGGCAGGAGAGATATAAAGAGTGGGAGAGAAGAAAGGAGAAATTGAGGAAGACAGCAAGGGCTCTTGAAGAAAGTGAAGAGTATTTGAACTGTCTGTGAAGAACCAGGAGTTGCCATGGCAACACAGAACGGTCATACCAGCGTCCACGTCTCAGACACCCAGACGTGGGAGAGGAACAAGAAATACACGGTAAGAGCTAGCGCTGTAAATGTATTAAAGATAAAAGTGAGTTCTGGTTAAAAAAAAAAAAAATGAATTCTCACAGAATCAAACGAAACTTACACTGAATGTTCAAGATGACAAATGAACGTCATTTGCCAAACAATTTTGGTAGAAAATGTATATTGGCTGAGTAATGAGCATAGAAAGATTAGGAAATCAAGGTGAGTAGCCCCCGACACCATTTGTGTAGTCCCATATACATCTTTCTGTGTGCAGTGCTTGTTACTTTACCAAGACTGGGCCAGATTTATTATTTAATTTGATAACTCCAGAACTTTGCAGTACACACCAATACTGCTACTTGATCAACTTTTTCTGGTCCATTCCACACTTTTTCTCTCACAATGCAATCGGATGACCAGAACTCACCTTTATCTTTATAAGATGGAGAAAGATGAACAATCCTAGATGGAAAGAGAATAGTGTTTAATACAATACAGTGCTGCAAGCGTTCAGAAGCTGAACAAAAAGTGATTTTCACCGCTTCCAGGTTTACGAGTCATCTCTGCACTCTTGCGAACAACGAAAAAATATATCAAAGAAATAATTTTCAAAAAGAATTTAGATGTACATTTGCAAGTACATGGAGGCAAAACTGAAATAATTGATAAAGTCTAAATATTTAAAGGTAAAGACCAGTTATGGTCATGCGATTGCATTGTGAAAGAAACGTTGTGGAATCGATCAGAAAAGGTTGATCATCTAGCATCTAGCATCTGCAAGGTTCTGGAATCATCAAAATGATAAGAAATTTGGCCCATTCTTCGTAAAGTTACAAGCACTATACACAGCAAGATGTATATGGGACTACCTTATATCTCTCACAGACCATGAGAGAAACAAATTTACCAGATATATGAATTAGTAGGCGGTTTCCCTGCAAATTTTTTATCATCATGTATTAGTCAAAACATATTCTTTCACATGATTGGTAATGAGAGCTTCCATTTCATTTTTTGAATTTGGGGCGTTTCCAATACTGGTCTTTACCTTTAAGTAAATATAAGTACTTACAATGTACTGGTTGGATTTCAATTATATACATACATGTATATCATGTAAACATGATGTACATGTATGTACAGTAGCTACAAGTACTGTATGTCATTTTATTGAGTTGTAGATGCGTTTCCCACATCAATACAGTATGTTCCAAATACACTTGCACTCTGGTGCCAAGCTTGCTTGCAGTGACTCTGGACTGAATGCACAACTGCATAATAACACTGGACATATATTAGACACTCTATCCTCTGAGTTACATGGCTAGCATCAACAGTGGCATAAGGGGAGTGTTTCACAAAGACTAAGATCGACTTCAAGTTGGACTTAACTATGGCAGGCCATTCATGCCACTGTTTGCTCTCATCGTTTACTGGCATTGGTCTTTCAAGGGACATACAAATTATGGTCACAAATCTACAGAATTTATATTTTTTGAGAATTCATTATTGAAGGAAATAACATTATCGAAAGTTGTTAATGGTGAGAGAAAACAGTGGCATGAACGGCCTGTCATAGTTAAGTCCAGCTTAAAGTTGATCTTAGTCTTAGTGAAACACCCCCCAGGCCTACCACCAAAGCCCATCCTCTATCAGAGACGACGGGGTGTCCATTAGGATGAGTTGGCATCTCTGTCAGTATACTGTAGGGTGCGTTTATCATCTTTAACCACTCAGAAACAGCATTTCTATTCATACATATAGAACCCTACTTCAAGTATACGAACAAGATTTGCGGGATGTCACGTTTATCAACTCGTCACGATTCAAAATAAAGGCCTTGTCTCTGCGCAACTGCTTTGCGCTTTTGCGCCGTTTGACCCGGGAAGAAGAGAGTTGCCTGGAGGTCAAAACAAGCTTGCGTTTTATATCGCCATGCAAATTTGCCTGAAACACGTTTGAAAACGCTGATTCTAGGCCAGAAAAGGGATGCTAAACGCACCCATAGTCTGTCAAACCTGTGATGTGATGCGAGGACGTCCCTCGGCGTGAGAGGTCTTGGGTAACACATTACAGTCGTGACTGCTGCATTCATGCCCTTAACCCAGTTTGTCCCTTGTCCGTCCATCCTCACCTACCACCCCCTTCTGCAGTACAGGCCTCTCGTCATCATTTACATGTATGCAGTTTAGTTGATGTGATGGCTCAATCATATACACCAAGATATCACATTTACATATGTAGCTTTAAACATGAGCAAACTGTCCATGTACAAATGTATATATTTTGCTGGCCTGTCATGAGTTCCTTTGCACAGGTAAAAGGCCCAGTGTTAGAGTATAATAATAATAATAATGTTAAATTTTTATATAGCGCTTAATACAAATGTCTCTAAGCGCTTTACAAATATATACTATTACCCCGGTCATTGGATTCAGTGCTTGCCCGCACACACTGTGTGCACAATCTCCACTCCCTGGGGAGCATTCCAGAGTATGTATGGGTAATAAACATTCCCAAGGGTATGCATCCTTTAAACTATTAGAAACTGTGCTTGTTTAATGTTCAAGAGCATGGCTTTTGTTTTGTATGTGTACATGTACTTTACAATATACACATCTTTCCAGAAAAATATAAAAAATAGAAATCCTGTTAACAAAAGGAAAGGTGCTGCTATGGGGTCCATGCGCATGAATTTGTTTATGCAGATTGGCCAATGAACCAGTTTACTAACATATTCCAAGTCTTCATGTACATGTATGCATACCTTTTAAATAATTTTGGTCGTGACAACCTGAAAGCTTGCCCGAGTCTTGCCCGATATAGCAATGTGTAACATATGCAGACCAGAATCCAAGTATTGCAGTTCATTCATTAATAACGGGTTAACGGAAGAAGTTGTCACTAGGTCCCCAGGAAAGAAATATCCATAAATTTGAATATGTTTAATTAAACCGGTCTATTTTGCTCGCAAATGCTCAAAGATTCTCTCAAGCCAGAATTTCCCCTTCTTCGTGAGTACTTCAATGCACAGAAATGTTCTTTTTATTTTATTAATTTTTTTATCGTAAAGTAAGCATCCACGATGGAGGGGCTTTGTGCCATTTCCGACACCGTCTGACCGATGAAATTTCACACCCAGGGCTCCAATTAAACCACAGGTCCCCGTGATGACGAGATTAGGGGCAAGGAAACATGCAAAATACTTGACTGCATCATAATCTCGGAGGCGACATGGCCTTCTCGATCCGCGCCTCCGACTCTTGAATTGAAGAGAGAGAAATATATGGAGAATCTTGGCCTCATCAAGCATCGCACTCCATCTTAAAGATGAAATGGAGTTTTGGTCGTGCGATCTGTTGCACTGTGAAAGAAATTTAAAGCGAATGAGGAAGGTTGATTATTCAGTACATACGTGTACATGTACATGTACATGTACACGCAAGAAGAGATGTACAATGTGATGTTTGGGAATCAAACTTATTAAAAATTTACTTAATTTTGCTGAAAATCAATGTACTGCACATTTAGAATTGGTTATATGGGACGATACTCACTTGTAGCATAAAAGTTTCGTCAAGAATTCATAGAGCTGTGATGTTCATCATATGTAGAATGTGAGGGCGTTCAAAGAGCAATCCTTTTCAGGGGACATTGCTGCTTTTATGTTTCTTCTATTAAAAGTCTAAACTGACATTTGAAAAATAAGAAGAAAGCTGACAAAATATTGTCACCTGTGCTGGAACTCATTCTTTGCTTTAAATGTATTCACACGAATGGCATCAACCTCAGGCTCTTGATTTAATTTTGTGCGAGTTAATGTCATTAAATGTTCACTGCCTCGTGCAAGAACATCCCCAAGGCCGTGCCACTGTATCCCTGTCAACTCGGAGAGAGAGAGAGAGATAGAACAAAAGAGAGAGAGGGATGAAGGGAGGGGAGGGGGAAGGAGAGAGGGGGAAGAGAGACAGAGAGAGGGGGAGGGAGAAAGAAAGACAGAGAGACAGAGAGGGGAGGGAGGGAGGAGAGGGGAAAGGGAGACACAGAGAGAGGGAGACGGGGAGAGGGGGAGGGAGAAAGAAAGACAGGAGAGACAGATAGAGAGAGAGAGAGAGGGAGATAGGGAGAAGGAGGTAGAGAAAGAGAGAGAGAGGGACAGGTTTAGGGGGAAGGGAGGGAGAGAGAGTGAGATCAAACTTGCACTCGAAAGAAGGGGAAAATACTTGGGGCTCGTAAAAGCTGCCTTGAATTTATTAGAACAATTTATTCCTGAAAAGAGCACAGATTCTTTATAAATGAAGAGAATGTAAATAAGAAAAATCACATGCAAGTCCTGCAGCTTTTAATGGTTCTGCTCAGATTTATTTTCTCGGATTTATCTTCTAAATACATCTAGAGTAAAGATTTTTTCTTCTTCCAAGTATGCAGGGTTTTTTTCTTTCCAAATTGATATCAGTTTCCTCCTATTTTACACCCTTTTTCTCTTACAATATTTTGTTAATATGCACCTACTCTTTTATTTCTGATGTGTGATTGGTGCTCCTTTCAAATTGGCGTTCTAACTTTCCCTCTATTTTTAAACTATTTCTCTCCCATTCATGCATTCTTTCTTTCTCTCTTTCCCTCTATCTATCTCTTTTTCTCCATATAATCTTTGATTTCAGATGCATGGCTTGTGTTTCTTCCAAATTGGCATTCCCAGTTTCTCCCTATTTCAAAGATCTTTTTCTCTCTCCTTCTCTATCTTATAGTCATTTGCTCCTCTCTGATTTCTACACCATGCATACTTTTCATCTCGTTTGCTTCTCTTTGCATTTCATCAATTCCCATCCCAGTGTCTCGTCTTGTTACTGGATATTAGATATCAGCTCCTCGGGGCTATAATTCTCCTCATATATATTTGAATGGGATAATGACGTACGTTGCGGTCCAGTCAGCGTGAAATCCACACCGAGGCTATGTACTTCGGAGGGATGCTGGCTGCGCAAGAACAAATCAAAAGACGGAGCGGTCTGAAGACCTGGG